CATTTACCACTTAGCTGCAGTAAATTGACCGTCTGAAGTTTTGGACAAAATAGCTGTTGTTCGTAAAAATGGTTTTAGAGAAAAATTCTGTCCAAACGATTTGATTACTTCAACCGCTCGATTTAGTTGCACAGCTGCAAGGCCCGGCCGGTGTGTGCTTTGCTTCGGACACGTTACATCGCGCAGCTTGTGTAAGGCTATGTTGCGCATTCTCATGAAGCGGGAAAATATTCGAATCTATTCTAGAACAATGTGTGCAATCTCATAAAATTATCGAGTGCGCTGATAGATGGGCGTTGTCGCATCGGTAACTGAAGGAGACCAAAGTTTCTGCAGACCGTAAATACAAACGAAACACGCTCGCTGTAGCGTTTCCCTTTTCATATTAAGTGGCGATGACCAACGGACGGACACCACCAGTTAACAGCAGTGACTATATAATACATACAATATGGACGATAAATTTATGTACAATTCCCGAGAGTTCGTGCACTGAGCAGCGTAGATGGCTACGCCCTTTACTTACTTCGCGATTTTAATCACTGAACCGTCGTGTAGTAATAGCTCTGTTACGATTTGTGAGATTCGTCGCCCATCTACCTAAATACATTTTGTGCGGTGGACAGCGGTGGTATGTTGGTCAGTTAATCACCTAGCGATTTTGTTTACTCTACAGAGGCGGCAGCTTGGGCACCTCAGCTACCTAACAATTTTGCTCATTTGAGCAGTAGCGTAGTAGTGCTGCTAACTTAATCATGACCTGTGAGCTCGGTGACTCACAAAACTAACGGTTTTGCTAACTGTACAGTCATAGTTGCTCAGTCAACCTAGAGGTATCACGCATTGAAAAGTATTATTAGCTCGGTGCTCCCTCAGGCTCACTCACTCGCCTTGTTTATGCAATGGTGGTAGCTCGGTGATCTCCGTCACTCACCCAACTAAAGATTTTGTGTACTGGATAGCGGTTGCAGTTTATTTGCGATTTTGGAGACCAGTTTGCCCGTCACAATGGCGTTAGCTGGCTTACCTATAGATTTCGTGCACTGAAAAGCGGTGGTAGCTCTGTCACTGTCTTGATTATCGATTTTGCGCGCTGTGCTGCGATGGCATCTCGGTGACCTCGGTCACAATCCTCTAGTGATTTTGTGCAGTGACCAGTTACCTGGATAGCATTGATAACAAATCAATACTTACTGTATTTTCAGATAGTGCGTGGTAGTTTTTTGTTCGCTGGATAGGGGCATGCGGTAGTTTAGCTGTAAATTCGCGCTGTCGATTAACCGGAAAACATGGTACGTTCAACATATTTAGCATGATTGATGAATCCAGAAGAGCAGAATTATTGGGATTGTTTCTTGTATTTAAAAATGCGGCTCTAGAAAAAGTTTGAGAATGTGTTCTAGCAAAATCAAGCACCCCAATAATCTTACAGTACTAGTGCACGTACAATACATGCATCGGCCAGATCTTGTATGGCTAGCCGGGCTAAGAGCTTCATATACGATGTGTAGTGCAAGCGTGCCGACAAAAAAAGTAAAGAAGCCGTTTTTCGATTAAGTCTAATTACATGTTCAATACTTATTTTACGCAGATATGTTGTCTAATATTTTGTCTAGGCAAACTCTTTCCAAGTTTCAAAGTCACCGTAAAATTGGGTTTGACATTTTACGGCATCGCGCTGCCCGGATTCAGTTCGGACGTATCCAAAAGGCAAAGGTTATGAACCACGACCGATCTGACTGCGGTCTCAGATTTCTAGATACGCTTTGGGTTAGAAGGATCTACAGTCTTTGGTGAGGCCGATGATTTTTTTTTAATACGTCTTTGGTGCGCCAACATCTGTTAGCAAAAACAACGCATGTTTGCAGGTAGTGGCGATCAACAAACAAATTTTACATTTTCTGTGATCGCGGAACATTGAGGACATTCGACTTTTACTTCTATGCATCGGTCGAACCCCGTGCGTAGCCTTTCTGAAGGAATTGTACCAACGGCTCTGCTCCACTGGTCGTTCATTCAATCAACCCTTTTCAACTTTGAAAATTTTTTGATACGCCGGTGCCTGCACAAATCGGTTTATCGAATCGTCGTCAAATCTGTAATGACAGAAAGGACAGTAATATTTTTAAAAAACCACGAGAAAGATCTTCAGCTCACGAGTGGTGATAAACTGTGCATTTTACATCCTGCGAACCCAGGAGCGAAGCTGTTCAGCGAGCAGTTCCTACACGGTCAATCAATTAGGACCAATCCCGCACATTATAGAAGGGAAAGTTTTGGCTTTCTAAATTACCAGTTGTGCTAAAAAAGAAGCAAACAATCACAGTTATTTAGACAGACTGATGGCCGGCATCCGGCGATTATTAAAATCTGACAATGATCCGCAGCCAACTTTTCAAATTAACACATCTTCGCATACATTTTCCTGTTGGCCATACCATGCTGCAAATGGTACGAATCTAAAATGTATAACAGCTTTCATCAGTTGTTCCGAGTCATTGTTACGACGAATTTATGGAAAGGAGATGTACAGTGCGGGGTTAACCCGTTGACGGGTATTGGCGTCAGGACGCAACATGGTCTTTTGAATTTTTTTCCCAATGATTGGGAACAAAAAAAATGAATGAATATCAGTTAGCATAATTAGCAATAAGAGACTTTAAAGCAGCAGTAAAAACATAATTCAAACTTATATCTCAAGTGTATTTACAAATGACCGTTGCCCGAAAATGGCTAATTTCGGACTTTTCAAGCTCTCGCAGATCTTGCTAATTAACTAATTAGTGGATGAATAACTAAACAAGAGATAAATCAAAAAAGGACAACTAACAACGTTCTATTCCAAATCAATTAACACGGGTCTCGTAAGTTGAACCGTAGAAGACCACAGTCCGTCAAAAATTTGTGTAGCGTGCCAACACCATTGCCCATGAAGGGTCTCGAATACACGGGCGGGTGCAATTTCGACTATTTCTCTTTATCACATAATCAGATCAAGTTACTGTCGGTTCGTACGCAAAACATGCGCCACGCGGTTCTGTTGGTCGGAAACTGGCAAAAAACGCTTCTGCGTATCAACACCCCGGGCGGTCGGCAAAAAGACAAAATCGTCTCTAAATTTTTCGGCTTCCGGAAAACGGAACGCTTAGAGGAACCGAACATGATAGTCCTAATTGTAATTCTATACCGTCGTTGCAGTAACAATGTAAATGGCGGCACAACACCACGGCGGCCCGTTTCTACATATTAATGTATTGCTTGGGCAAGCTATGCGAGAGCTGCATAGCTTTTCAGAAACATGAAGTTTGTTCCATCAGTCTCGGGCGGTTAAAAACTACAGTAACTGCTAGTGCTCACTATACGCGTGCACATTGGGGATCTTGACCTTTGCGGCAGCCTAGCTATTTTCTTCCGGTCGCTAACGCGTTCCAGAAGGTGCTAGTGACCGGTGTCTAATATCTCATTTTGCGCTAATAACCACTGCAGCTGGACTATCCGCGCCGCCTTTTTGGACAGTGGCACTTGCGGCCATACCAAGGAAAAATGCATATGCGCACTATGCGGGCAGTATAAAGGCGGCTAGGCGTGCCAGACATTCAAGAAAAGCAATGTTAAACTTCAAAAATGATGCTTCGTGCAGTCTCGTATGAGAGTATAATGAAAGTTATGGGAGAGAAATATCGTTAGCATCGTTTACTTTCTGTGTTCCATCTGTAAATAGTGGTCAAAATACATGGCAACGGGATATGGCAGTTTTTAATTTTTTGCTGACCAGTGGTCAACTTGTTGACCACTGCTATGCTCTTGTTTGGAAGTCCTTTTTTTGTATTATTTAATGGATTTATTACTTTTATTTAATTTCCGTTCGTCTAATTATCACAAAATTAAACGTTTTATGCTGTAGACCGTCCATGGGCATTGGCGTTGGCAAACACCCTAGTCACCAACGGCTGATCTATGGTCAGCACAAGCTTACAAAAAATTCCCATTCTTAATTGATTTTTTTCATCGGGAAATCCCGATTTTCAAAAGGAAACTCGCATTCCTTCGGGTACCGCCCGCTGGAGGGTTAAGAGTCTGTCCAGGTGACCCCCAAGGTGTATTTGTAACGTCAGTCATCGCTGAAATCAGCCTTTCACTTCCGCCTTTCATAAGTGCCCTGCGCCTCTTGTCGCTCCAGTTTTCCGGGATAATGATGATCATAAATGGTAGCTGTTTGCCTAAAATGGTTGCATGAATTTGTCACTAAAAGCTGTACAGGCACCAATATTCTGGCACAGCGCAACAATTAGGATCAGTACTTTTGCCGCACTACTGAATCAGTAGTGCGGCAAAATAGCCTAACGGCTATTGGGCCGACCGTAGTGCGTTTAAATAGCCTAATGGCTAATTAAGCGCAGTGTGCGGCAAAATAGTCTAGTGGCTATTGCGCCTACCATAGTGCGGTAAAATAGCCTACTGGCTATTCTGCCGCAAAGACTGCGGCAAAATAGCCACTTCGAAATCTAAGTCTAGCAAAGTACATTCGCATTTTAGGGCGGTCGTTGCGGATGTCCATGACGTTTTTGATGTATTTGACAGATTCCCCGACGACAAATATTGTGTATTGCTGTCCACTTCAGCTTTCGCAACATGATGGGCGTTCCCGAATGCTTATCCCGTAACGCTTCATAGGTATTATCGTCGTTCCTACAATGCCTACATTGTTTCCGTGGCTCATTCGGTGTCACTTTATAACAGCACTGTTTCGAATCACAATGACAGGGAAACACATTGACAGTGAATCACATTGACACTTTTATTGACGGATTGACATATTCGGTGGCGGACGACAACTGTGCGTTACTTTCTACATTTTTGGATGATTTGTGGCGTCGGGTGAACCTTATTTAATAGAGCTTAAATGGGCAAGCGGTTAGAATAATCCTGGCACGACACCGTCGTCTGACTTATTCACTGAACATTTCATCAGCTATAGCAAAAGTGAAATCAACCACTCTAAAAGCGATAGCTTTAAAGCGACAATATCAGCTTAGACGTCATATTTACTTCCTTCTTAACACTGAAGCTGAAGTCCTTAAACTCTGCAACAACCTGCTTGGTCTAATTATAGACTGGTTCCATCATTAAACACGATCTTGTCGCCGACATCCGCAGGTACCGCAGCAGTATAATTGGCACTCTTGGGCGTAATAGTAACATTCCCGATGCAAATCGGTGTCTTTTGACGGAGGACTTCCAGATTGACATAGAACACGTACAACTCCTTCAGGTGAACTTTCCCTGAAGTGTATTTCGCTATGTCAGTGAAGTACAAATCGTCATCTTCCAACACCTCGTTATAAGCTTGCATTACCGGAATTGGTGCTGTACTGTGAATGCCATTCAGCATCTCTCGCACCCAATCTCCATGGTCGCTGAGAACGGCATCCAATCGGCGTGCTTTGACATCGGGACGCTCAGTCGACGAAAACGTTGCCTCCCACATTTCCGACGTAAAGTTAGCGGTTGTGGTACAATTATACGGGAAAACAGCTTCCATTTTCCGTTCCCTTTCCAGTCTTTCCATTTCGTCATCTTCAACGAACTCGTTTTCGCCTAACAACTTTTCAACGGCTCCTGCAACGAGCGTTTTAGTAAAACTGTTGTAATCCTTAGCGGACATAAACACGTGATTTTGCCCGGCTGAGAGCCGTTCCGCAACGAAGTTAACAATCGTGTTGTTGGGAAGATGGGTTGTATCGATGCACAGTAGAGTCGAACGAACGCTCGAGTCTATTGCGAAAGCAACAAATAAACGCGATGCAACAATCCCACTATCGTCCCGCATCGTATCGTTGTACGTGGCGTCCGTGGGACAGGCAATGCGCACGGAGGCCGTCGGGTCCCAGTTGGTCAGGAACTGCCAAGCACTGGTTGTGGTCGTTGGGGTGGAGTCATTGGTTGAGTAGCCTACCAGCATCCATTTAAAGTCGAACGGAGGCAACTTGGCTTGCACACGGAGGTACATGAGCCAGGAAGCTTGGTCTCGTGCAAAACCGGTAAAAGCCCATTCATCCTCCACCCGAGTGATTGTAACCGATCCGAACAGACAGTTCGTATTTGGCTCTATGGTCACGGAAGCCGAAACCAGAGTAGATGTCAAGAGTCTTCCGACGGGTGCGTAAAACAGCGGCGTCCTATCGGAAATCTTGCTAAATACTTGAATTTGTATTCTATCGTAGGGAATTTTAATCTTCGACGGGGTTTCTGCAAATGTAACAGTTTTATGTGTCTTATGAGTGGTTCTCTGTAATGGAATCGACACAAGTCACACAAATGTAATGCCAACCGGTTGCTGCATACGTTCATTTTGCATGAATACGTAGACTCACCGCAATCACCGGTATAAACGAGCAGGGAAATGAACAGTACAGTATTTCGAAACGCGCCCATTTTACGAAACGACAACGGAACACATGTACTTATTTAAGATGTTGCCACCAATTCAGTTAACCAATAACACTAAATTGTGTGCTTATATGCAGCAGCTAGCTTAACGTAGCACATTGATGAAATGCTGGAGACGCTTAAGGCGTAATAACGGCGCGTATGTGCCGGTAACAGTTCGAAATCTTTTAATAAACCGCAGATTAGTTCTGCATCCTGATTACGATGCATAAACGTGATATTATGATACATATTGTGCTTAAAGGGTTCTGTGATGCTCGATGTTGATTGATGATAAATCTAGTTCCGTAAAAGCACGTTTCTGCTGGGTACAGAGTCAGATTCTGGCATGCTGGCAAGTACGAGTCACGGTGTCGTTACGAACTTCCCATTCATTAGCACACCAGTAAACATCCGTAGAAGTATAGCACTTCTTAGAACGTTTAACGAGCTGGCATGCTGCACCGCAAGCAGAAAGCAGTCACGCTCAATTCCGGGATCGCTGCTGCTGACAATGAACTGACTGTAATAAATTACGGGTACTCCTTGGATATTTGTAGATACCCTTGATTAAGTTCTGCATTCCCACTGTCGTTTTTCCTGGCGGTTCGATGTAGTGCACATTGTGGATCTGTTTGAGAAACATCCGCACTGCGACACGCCGCCCCTGGACACTGAGTGCAGTGCACAATGCATGGTCAACGGAAACGACAGTAAAGAGAAGGCCATGGGAAGTGAGAAAGGTGTGGACCGTGAACGTGACCATAAACGACGAACTGCTGACTAGTTCTTGGTGCGTCTGTAGCAAATTTGCCAGAAACGCGAAGATCGGACTTCCTGAAATCCGGGTATGGAAGTGCGTGTGTCATCGGCATAAAGTAAGGCGGATGGACGGTTAATGGTCATGGGACCCGAATCAACCTTTCTAAAAAAACTGAAGTGACGCAAAATGTGCTCATTTGCGATTTTAAATTTCACGGCACGAGTGGTGAATAGTGGTGTAGTGTCTAGTGTCATTGTCCACTTGCTAATACGTAAATCGGTAAATGCAGTATTTACTGGCTTAATCATTGCAGCCGATCATAACAACGTCTAAAAAATTGTTGTCCGTCCTTTGGAGTTGTAAGCTACAGAAATAATCCATATTAAAAGTGTTAGATTATTTTAGAATGCGGTTTAAACATGTGGTGACAGCCGACAGGATTTAAGTTTAATTGAGTTGAATTTCGGAATGTACTCGTTAACCGACACTCATCAACAGAACATTTTCACCTTGGCTCTGTCGGCTGTCGTAACTGTAAATAACATTACTGCATGATACGAGGGAAGGCACACTTCTGGACATTAGTGACAGATATGTACAACAGCGAGAGTGATTTCAACGATGTTTGCAATTATTTCTGCTGTTCGCCAATGTACAAGACTGTTGGTAACCGTTCGCCGGTGTTTACAACTGTTTCTTATTCTTGTTTCTAATTGTTCTTCGCTGTTAGCCGCTGTTTGTAACTGTTCTTCGCTGTTAGCAGCTGTTCTACGCTGTTTGTAACTGTTCTTCGTTGTTAGCTGCTGTGTCTAACTGTTCTTCACTGTTAGTAACTGCTCGTCATGGAACATCGCGGTTTCTAATTTCTATCGGTTTATTATTTACCGTGTTATTGCCATTTTGATAACAGAAGTAATACAACAATCACTTATTTTTATACCAAGGAGAAAGCATGCGCAACTTTTCCATAACAAACAAATTCTTTTCCCATCCAAAAAGCGCTATATAGTATTACAACCTTTTGACATTGACTTCTCCACTTGAAAATCATGCATTCTGCTTATAACATGCAAAAAGAATTCTTGTCTTCTCTTTCCCATGACAAACAGCGAAGTTTTCAGATTACGCAGCTGAGAGCCTGAGAAAATACTTGTTCTGCAGATTCCGTTTTGATGGATGTCTCAGCTCCATGTATCGCTGCCAGCACTTCGTCAGCATTATAGCTTTTAAAGCACTCCGGCCTGTGGTTCCGCATATGAAATTTTGTCGATCACTTTTTGAATTTCGAATCACATCCGTGAATGGCAACGGATGTGGCAACGGAATTCCGGATATGGCAACTTTTTCGCTGCTTATCAAATGGCGTTTAAGTGGCACATGTCATCATAGCATAAAGTAAATTTCGAAAGCTCTGCCGGGTCTCCTGTGGATAGATCTTTAAGCAGATATTCAACACTGTATGGAAAAACACCTGCGACGATGATTCAGAAACAGAAACCTGTTTCATTAGGCGCAATATTTTTTGTAAAAGCTGAAACTTACACATACAGTGTATCACGGTCGGAAGACCCGCAACAGTTTGATGATACCCCCAGCAGTTACAAAAAACAGCTATCCCCGTGATCGCGATTTAAGGTACTTATGTAAACCCAAGTTCTTTTTGCAAGTCAGCGGAGAACTGAATATTGCACGTGTGCCAGTTTCGCTTTCCGCCGCAATCAAAGCCGCTTCGGGAAGCCTCGCCGTTTTCTCAGCCTTAGCACTAAGGGGTAAACCTTCTTTTTCCGCAATTGCCAAGTGCGCTTTGCAATAAAAAAATCCAGGCAACGTCTCTTCGGTACATTTGCAAGGAAATTTGATTAGGGGAAATTTAGGATGAGTTTTTTAAAAATTAGTTAATTTTTAGTTTTTTTTATTATTACAGGAACACACATTTTCCGGTACGAGGGGGGGGGGGACATTTACCCACAGCCGCAAAGAGTTGAGAACAGTTACCTGCAGCGGTTAACAACCACAAACAGCGAAGTACAGTTGCATACAGCAGCAAACAGTGGTTAACAGTTACAAACTGCGAATAACAGTTATACATAGCGACAAACAGTGGGGAACAGTCACAAACAGCGAAGAACAGTTGCATACAGCAGCAAACAGTGGTTAACAGTTACAAACAGCGAAGAACGGTTACATACAGCGGAGAACAGTTATACACAGCGGCAAACAGTAGGGGACAATTGCAGAAGCGGGGAACAGTTGCGGTAATTACTACAGTACTAGGTATCAAATTTAAAAAACGCAGTTCGAGAATTTCGTTGTAATTTTGCTGTTGTATCTGATTGCTGTTATTGCTGTTTGCTGCTGTTTCTTGCTGTTATTCCTTGATGTCCCGAGGTGTGCCTACAATGCATGATACATATGTTGGCGTTACCATTCCGGCACATTCGGTACGTTTTTGTAAGAGGAGAATCCTCTGTACACAGAGCAGCCGCCCATCCGCCGTCTACCTGGTTGGCTCAAGCTTAAGCACAAATATCTTGATCTTCTTAAACAACGGCGATGGCACATTGGTAGTGTTACGTGGATCACACTCTGTAGCCAGCGGTTCGATGCCGCTCCATCACAATTTTTCGAAATTTTCTCAACAGACAGGTTTTCATCTGACCGCCCTCCCTGACCACGGACAGCCGATTAAGGACTGACTCTGTTATATTTTAGTTCAGCTGAATTCTCATGCTCAATGACTACGAGTCGTTAAGACATTTAGTTACCAGTATTTGTCAAAAAGGTGTTGTTTGAAGACAAGTATGTAAAACTATTTTTTAACTTCTTTATGCCGCAGATGATGCCGGAAGAAAATGCATTAGCACATTGATTAACCCGTTCCACACCATGCGTATTAGGGCGACATGTTGGAAAACTTTTCTGTAATCCGTAATTAATGCTCTACGTCTCCTATGCAAATCGTGGCAGAGCGTGGGGGGATAGTGGAGAAGCTGCTGACCGGAAGCGCGAGCAAGGTGCGTGAACGCGAGTGCGTTGGCCACCTCTGATCGCTCCAGCCGCACAGGCAACCCCAAACTACCCTAAACCACTGCTCTGTCCGTAAGCGTCGAGGGCGTGTGTCGGAACAGCTGTGCGGACGTATCTTGCATAGCAGGAGGACTTCCATCTCCCAATCCTCTGAATCGTGGCTTCCGAAGCTCCGTGTGAGGCTGCTGTTGAAGCCGCACCGATGCGGAAACTGTGCGTTCCATACCGATGCTTTTCGGGAATCCCGCGCAGATGGGTTAGAAGCCATCGGTCGACATGCGTTCTAGTGACAAATTGACCGTTCTCTTGAACAAACAGCGGCAGTGCGTGTAGATTGGAAGATTTTCTTGCCGCGATGTAGTTTCGTAGCGCGGTGACAGGGCAGACTGATCGGCCGGTTGCGTGCAGCGCGATCCTGTACCCGTGTCCAAACTGGTCCGTCTTGGATTGTCGGATCGTTAGGGTCATCGAGGGATCATTCTCCAGTATGTCGCTGATGAGCAGCGTGCTTCGCTCGTCATATTTGCTGGGCGATGGGGACACAAACTCGCTTACTCGAAGCGCAGCAAAGAACGCCGTCGTAAAGATGCACCAGATAAGCCGCTGCTCATAGTGGGATACGGCGGTCAATCTGATACTATCTTTCAGGTGCCGCATGAGGTCCAGAGTAATGGGAAGGCGGCGGTCCGACACTGTGGGGCAAATGCGCTTGCAGCCGTCGATGGCTCTGTTCACCGCCGACGAAACAGTGGGATTCGGCAAATTCGCTTCAACATGCGCATTGGCGATTCCGGCCATGTAGACTCTGATTGTAGCAGGCGATATCTTTTGGAGATAAAGTTGAGCCACAAACCGTAGCACGGTTACTTCTGTCGCTGGTAGAGACAGGGCGCCGTCTTTGATACAGAATTGCAGAAACCGTGACCAACCGGCACCGTAGGTCGCTCTTGTTGCAATGGCAAGATGGTGGTACTGTCACGTCTAGTCTGTCGGGAGATCGAAAGCGGTCCGCAATTCGGTCCAGATGTCCGGGGTGACTTTCGGGAGCTCTTTTGCGAGCGGTGCCAATTTCCGGAAGCGCGCTACCTGAAAGCGTGACAATGCGTCAGCGATTCCATTATCGCATCCGTTAATGTGCATTATTTTCACAGTGAAATTGTGCAGGGCTGATAGCGCTAACATGCGCCGCATTAAGTCTAGCGCTCCGCTATGCTGTGAACCCAGCTTCTCCCACGCTTGGGAGGCCCCTAGGTTGTCACAATGGCGCACCGACAATTTGCTGACCGACATCTTGCTGACCGACAAATTGCTGACGACTATTTGCTGACCGACTAAATGTTGACCCGACAGTTTGTTGAAACGACGAAACGCTGACCGACATTTTGCTGAACGACAGTTTGCTGACACCGACGATTTGCTGACGACATTTTGTTGACTGACAAAATGTTTACCCGACAATTTGCTTACATACTAAGTTGTTGACCGACATTTTGCTGACCGACGATTCGTGGAAATACCGACAACTCGCTGACCACCAGTTTATTATTTTTGTTATCCATCGAATCATTGTGATAAACAAATAAACAAAAACACCATTTCGAATAAAAGGCTACAAAGATGCTACAAGTACAAATGCAACCCAGAAGGGATGACACTAATGGCACAGATGTTATCTTATATTATACCAGTAAGCATTTATTTATCTAATATTAATCTTATAGTGCTATCCTTATGACATGCTTATTACAACAGAGTGCAAGTGTGAGTGTAAGGTTACCAGAATATCAGTCTGTACTCACTAAAAAACCGAAACAAATAAATTCTAACATTTAACCTTAAATTCCGAACCGTATATTAGCTGCGATGTTCTGCAGATAGGCGACCACATTTGCCCGGTCATAACCTTGCACGACCTTTAAAAGCCGTTCATTCAGCTTCACATACCCTGGTCGACGCTTTGCTGGAGACTTTCCGGTTTGCAGATCGTTAATGGCGACTTCCTGTAGTGCCTGCTCATGAAGCAAAGCTCGAATAAAGTCATAGATTACGGGGTGCTTTTTGCCGACAGTTTGAGTGAATGCGTTATTCCACGCTTCGACACAATTATTCGTTCGGTGGATATCCTTGATTACCCAGTCATAACAGCTCCAAAACGCCACGGCGTAAGTGGGCGCTCGCTGGCCTCCACTACGCGTCAAAGGCCCAACGTAATGCTTCGCAAAGTATTCGGATAAAGCATGATTGCTTGGTAAAGTCCAACCGCTCGTACCTTGCAACTCTAACCACGCCATTTTGACGTCAGAGGGAGGAACGAATGCTAACGCCAGTACCATCTTGCAGTGAAGGTTGAAAGTTAGGTCGGCTGCATACTTTGTAGTGTTGCCCGTGTCCTGAATTTGTCGATAAACGCTTTGTCCCAAATGAAATAAGCAGCCTAGAAAAGAAATTATTAATAATTTTAAAGAACAAAGGATATATCAAAAAATTAGATAAATCAGACAATAAAAGCTATATCTTTTGTCACGCTGTGAATTGAATAGACTGGATTTTCGGTTATTTTCGACTATCACAAATTAAACAATAAATCTACATCGCATTAATTTATAATATTTAAGAAACTAGCGGTCCTTAAAACGTAAAGCCACGATTCAACAATTTTACCTTGAAGTGCGGATTTATCGAACACCTTATGAAAGGATTTGATTGCTGCCTGCTCGAAGTCCATGATGCAGTATGCGGGTCCGTTATATACAGTTCCGTGTGGAAGCACATCTACAATCTTTTCTCTGATGGCCTGGAAAGCGGTTTGATAATTTTCCGCATTCTTATGCGGCAGCAGTGCGTACACCAAAGGGAAAACTTTCGTCTCAACCACACCATGGATTGTATATAACTGCGCAAACAGCGGTGGCGCAACCTTGAACGTTCCGTCGCAAAACCAAACTGCAGATTTAACCAAGAGTTTGAGGTTTTCAGTGGTGGCGAAGATTACAGTTCGTTCGGCATCAGCGGCTCCAGTGTCTTTCAGGAGGAATAGTTGTCCACGCGTGGTAAGCACATTCAGGAGATCCGGGTCGATATCACTCAGTGAGTCTGGCGATGGAAGGTTACCGGCATCAGCTTTCCGAGTACGCTCAATGGTCCGCTGCAAGGCGCAATATGCCGGCATTTTACCAGTTGCCACCAACGACATATCTTTGGTTACAGCCTGCATGATCTGCCGCGGAGTATCTTTCGTTTCAAGTGCCCGCTTCTTGACATCTTGCTGGGCGACGTGGGCCAGAATATCAGCTTTGCTTCCCGGGTGATTGTGATCGGATACCGCAACAACTTCTCCTGCTGTTAACCGCAGCCGGCTTTTGCAGCAATGTGGGCGTCCTCGCTTCTGACAAGTCCAGTATTCCATTTCTCCTTTCTTCTGCTCAAGCGTATACGAATGAACTTCATCCAAAAGCAACAAAGCGTTCCCGCGCTGTGTTTTCGAATAGGAAATAGTGTGCGCCATGTTAAAACTCCCTCGAGAATATCACTTGGCAAAATGATTGCCTTACTTAAAATCAATTACTTAATGCGACTAAAGTTCAAAGTTTAAATAGTACCGGCGATCCCCGTAAAAAGTTCAGTCGCCTTGCCGGACTTTGCTAAATGCATTCTCAATATGCACTGCTAGGTTCTAGGTACTGACCCTGGTCACTTAGTGAATGAACAATACTGTTACTGGCAGATATTTGTTTCCAGGTTGTGCAAACAGCAGGATGCTATTGTGCGCATACGTATGCAGTAACGAAATCCGTTCTCGTGCTGTGCAGAAACACTTTACCACTAATGATACAAGTTTGACTTGAGTTTTGATGGTGATACAGATACTTACGCCGCAGACCGAATACCACCGGTGTAATTATAAATATATTAATAAAAACTATTAATAAATAATTATTATTTACTAAGACAACAACAAATTGGTTAAATGAGTATGGCGTAATAAACTGCAAAAAGTCAGATTTCAGTTATAAATGTCACTGTAGTGCTTCTTTTTTATGAAATAAACGTAGATTTTAATTTTCGCGTAAATTTTGCTTATGTGCGTTGAACAGGTCAGCAAATTGTCGGTCAGCAAGTTTTCGTTTTTTACAAGTTGTCGGTCAACGAGTTGTCGATTACCGACATTTCGCTGACCGACAAGTAAGTTGTCGTTCAGCAAATTGGTTTCAGCAAGATGTCGGTCAGCAAGTTTGTAGAAAAGGGAAGTGTCGGTCAACGATTTGTCGGTCAGCAAGTTGTGGTAGTCAGCAACAAGTCGGTCAGCAAATTGTCGGTCAGCGAGATGAAAGTCATAGAGTTGTCGTGCTACCTGTCACAATGGAGCAGTACTCGCATGCGGTGTAGCTCCGGAGCCCAGATGTGCAGTGCAAAAAGGATGGCGGTCATTTCCAGGTATTCGATACAGGGTTTCCTTTCGATGACCCACGCAGGCCAACGAGACTGAAACCACTCACCGTCACGGTAACCTCCGATGCCGCAGACGGCTGATGCGTCCGTAAATAGGTCAGTTACGTTCGGGCAGGACCACGTTGGATGGAGGAACTTGCTCGTGCCGTTCCATAGAGGCAAAAACTTTATCCACCACTGAAGGTCAAGATGGAATCCGGCGCTTAGCTGTATCTGAGTAAGCGGCCGTTTATCGCAACCACTAATGAGCCGAATCATTCTTCGCAGGAACAGTCTTCCCGCCGGCACGCATCGGCATGCAAACTGCAACGTTACAATTAGGCTTTGGAGATCGTGTAACGTGCATACAGTCTTCGGCTCCCAAGTGGTCATGAGTGACGTCATGTCGTTCAACTTGTCAGCTGGTAAGGAAAGGGTCTGAGTAACAGAGTCGATACGGATCCCGAGGAAGGTGATAACGGTCGCCGGTCCTTCTAGCTTGTTCATGGCTAGCGGTACACCGAGGTTAGCGCATAGATCCCTGAATTTACGAATTAAATCCGCACATTCTCTCGCGTTGTGAGCAATTATAAGAAAGTCATCCACGTAAACAAAGATGGCAGCATGGCCGGTTTTGCGCTTGAAAATCCACAGAATCGCGTCAGAAAATTTGCAGAAAATGCCAGGAGAAGATCTGCATCCAAAAGGCAGCACTACGTCGTAGTAGTATTTTGCGGACAGCTTGTAATTGAGCAAATGGTGCTGACTTTCCATGACCGGCACTAAACGGAACGCAGACTGGACGTCCAGTTTAGCCATCACAGCTCCAACTGGGAAGTCCAACAGCATCCGTACAGCATCGTCAACGCTGCAGAATCTTAACGGGGGATCGTCTTTGGCAATGTGCAAGTTCACGGAATCGGCCGCCGGGCGGCAAAGGTCCATTATCATGCGATGCCCGCCGCTCTTCTTTAGGCGCATGTTCAGGGCGTTGATTGTAAAATGCTTAAACGGAGGCGTAGCAAATGGGCCTTTCGTGTGTCCGAGTTCCACCTCCTGATCGATGGTGCTCTGTGCAATGCTCTTGTGGAGTGTTATAGATAAACTTTTTGGGGTAAAACGAGAACGCAATAAACCGCTGTATTTCAAGTCGGCACCGTTGATGATACATGAAACTAGATATGCAACGAATTGCTGATCGGGATGATCAGCCAGCCGCCGCGCAAATGCATCTGCCTTAAGCGGGGTTCTCCTGTTTGAAGCGGCCGCCGTTGCTGGAAGTGCCTGCTTGCCGGTGGACGTAGTCGCCGTGGGAGACGGAGCCACAGGAGCTGCAGACATGTTTGCGGTTTCCAGCGCATGGCGTTGAG